CCATCTACTGGCACTTACTATGTGCTGTGTACCTACTGTGAGCCAGACACCAAGCCAGGGGACTCTCAATAAGGACCTATCTACTGGGCATCTACTATGGGCTAGGGCACCAAGCCAGGGGAATCGCAATAAGGCCCATCTACTGGGCACCTACTATGTGCTAGGCACTAAGTTAGGAGAATCTCAATAGGGCTCCATCTATTGGGTGCCCACTATGTGCCAGACACCAAGCCAGAGGACTCTCAATAAGGATCCAACTACCGAGCACCTACTATGTGCCAAGCACCAAGCAGGGGGACCTGCAAAAGGCCCCATCTACTGGGCACCACTATGTGCCAGGCACCAAGCCAGGGGAATCACAATAAGGCTCATCTACTGGACACCTACTATGTGCCAGACACTAACCGGAATCTCAATAAGGCTCCATCTACTGGGTGCCTACTATGTGCCAGCCACCTACTGTGTGCCAGACACCAAACCAGGGGACTCTCAATAAGGATCCATCTACTGAGCACCTATTATGTGCCAGGAACCAAGCAGAGGGAATTGCAATAAGGCCCCATCTACTGGGCACCTACTATGTGCCAGGCACCAAGCCAGGGGACTCTCAATAAGGCTCCATTTACTGGACACCTACTGTGTGCCAGGTACCAAGCCAGGGAAACTCAATAAGGCCCCATCTACTGGGTGCCTACTATGTGCTGGGCATTAAGTTAGGAGAATCTCAATAAGGCTCCATCTACTGGGTGCCTAATATGTGCCATCCACCTACTGTGTGCCAGACACCAAGTCAGAAGACTCTCAATAAGGATCCATCTATTGAGCACCTACTATGTGCAGGGCACAAAGCCAGGGGAATTGCAATAAGGCCCATTTCCTGGGCACCTACTATGTGCCAGGCACTAAGCTAGGGGAATCTCAATAAGGCCCCATCTACTGGGTGCCTACTATGTGCCAGCCACCTACTGTGTGTCAGACACCAAGCCAGGGGAAGTGTAATAAGGCCCCATCTACGGGGTGCCTACTATGTGCTGGGCACCAAGCCAGGGGAATCTCAATAAGGCACCATTTACTGGGCACCTACTATGCGCCAGACACCAAACCAGGGGACTCTCAATAAAGGACCCATCTACTGGGTACCTATTATGTGCCAGGCACCAAGCCAGGGAAACTCAATAAGGACCCATCTATTGGGCACCTAGTATGTGCCAGGCCCCTGACAAGGGCTTCACGGATAGTACCTATTCTTATTTACTGAACCTACTGTATGCAAGGCATGGTGCCAAGGGCTTCACATGTTTTATGGTAAAAATACGGTGGAGGGGTTTCTTATGGCCAAGCAAGTGCTCACTGAACACGTGGCCACACGGGACCAAGTGCTCACTCCTCTCAGGGCCCCCCTTGGCCTTACTCAGAGAAAAATCAATGCCCATGTCTATAGCACCTACTGTGTGCCAGTTAGCATGCTGAGCACTTTGGAGAGTGATGTTGAAAGGGCCACTTCACTGGACACTGACTGTCAGGGAGCAGAGCTGGCTCCATGGGCCAGGTCCACATCACACTGTCCTGTTCTGAGGCCCTACTGTGCGCCAGCCCTGGGCAGAGCCACCGCGGACCAACAGCAGCTCTTGCCTACTGAGCACCTGCCATGGACTGGGCGTGGCTACGGTCCTCCGAAGACACCGATAGCAATTAACATTTGTGCAGCACCCACTGGGCCAGGCACGGTGCTGAGGACTTTATCACCCACAGCAATAGTCCCAACACATTAAGCACCTACTGTGTGCCAGGTGCCATGCTAGGAGAGTGGAAAACAAGCAGCTCCAACACACTAAAGCACCTGCTGTGCGCTAGGCACTAAGAAGAGCACTGCTGGTCAACACCAACAGCTCATACCCGTTAAGCACCTACTGTGTGCCAGGTTTTGTGCTAAGGACCTTACATAAAAACACTAATAGTTGTAACTTATTAAGCCCCTGCTATTAGGGGAATTGCAATAAGGCCCCATCTACTGGGCACCTACTATGTGCCTGGCAACTACTGTTTGCCAGACACCAAGCCAGGGGACTCTCAATAAGGCCCCATCTAC